AAACATATATGTCGAATCAGATCGTCTGAAGAAAGCAAATTTAAGAATATTTTTCAGCTTACCTTTTAAAATCCTACTGATGTTCTTCTTTAGCATTCTAATATTAAAAACCGCAAAAGTCAAAGGTTTTCCCGTGATTCAGATAGTTTAAGACCTGAGCGCATGCGCGTTAAGACCATTATTCAGACGGGTACCTGAAAGTCACCTGCGTAGTTTCTTTCTCAGCTAGGTCTGTGAAATTGGTCTGTGCAAGGTCTGTGCCATTGTTACCAGACAGCCAAGGTCGTGACAAATAACCACGTGACTGACCTGAAGAAGTTGCCAATAGGGAAAGTAGTTGTGCCTGGTAACTAGTGCTGGAGGGCTTTTCGTCGGGGACTAGCTTGCCCTTGCAACAAAACAAATTCTTCTGGCTCTCTGGTTGTTTATTCGCTTGTAGCTCCTAGCTTTACAATTCTCTCTCGAATATGGATGTCGTTCTCTCTATATCTATACTGTTGTCGCACGTTGCCTTTATACCGACTAGTCCGACCAACTCTCAGCTCAATTTAATGCTTACGCAAGTCTACTGTGATTGGCTAGAAGTGACTCATCCGTATGAAACCTTCGAGGCATTTACCTAGTCAAAATGATTTTCTTCCTTAATTTTCACTGTTAAGATTGGGCTTTTCAGTTAATACAAAACAAGGGGAGCAATATAAAAATTACAAGGTATCGAGTATTATATAGAATTTTTACAATTCTTTAAAAAAGGTTCTAAAGTTGTTGCTTGAAGATTATACGGGGTAGTCGATCTAGATAAGGTGTCAAGCTTCTTCTCCGAATGTGATCGGCGACGCTTGCTTATGAATTATCAATGCGATGCCACAAACACGACCTTACAAGTCCGATTGCAACACGGGCGGCTAACAACTTCTTACAGGTCATTTACAGCTTGAAGACTCAGTACACTGAGCTGTGATGTGACCAGGAAATATCTTACTATTATTATTTAAATACTTTTAACTTTTAAGTAACACCATCTACAGTATGAATTCGACTGAATCCAAGAGAAACAAGCCAAAACTTATCCAAAACACGGACAGGAACTATTTCCTGGCAATTACCAACGTACCACCAGTCAAGGACAAGACGTTAAACCAAGCTATATTCGAAAACGGAGACAAAGCTTTTATGTAACCTTCCGAAACCAGTAGAAACAAAACACCTGTCTCCACATTTCATTAGGAGAAACTTTCTATCGATCACTAACTAAACCTACAAGCCAAAACCATGGGTAGCAAAACAACAAGAACGCTTGTAAAACTTAACTACAAACAAGGATCGCATTAAATGCCACTAATGGCTAACGCAACTCTTGTAAATTATTTTTATGACATTTTCCTTTACACAATAAGTATTTCCCCAAATCGTAAGAAATCTTGTAATAAACCCAAACACCAACTAAAATTCTTTCAATAATTTCAATTGTCAAAACACGTATACTAAAAACATTTTTCATCGCTTCAATTTTGATTGTTTAACACTAGGCACCATGCCCCCATGACTGTTGGTTTGCAACCCAATACAGTAATAAAGCACTCATTATTCTACATTTTACGATTGAAGAGATTTGCTAACTTGGTCTAGGCTATCTAAGATGCAAAATTTGAGATATTGGTGCAAGTCATTTACTAAGATGTGAACCGAAAGATTCAAAACCAGAGGTTTCGAGCTCGATTCCCTGCTCTTACGAAGTGCTAGCTAGCGCTAAAATTGTCAGTAAATCTTTTTAAGTTAGTAAATTGAATCGATCAACTCAGTAGATAAAACCCGAAGTTTTGTGCTTCATTGCCCCACCGACCCCGTAAGTTGTATACGTGAACAATGCACTCTGTACATGTTTGTCCTGGTTGCAAAAATTGGTGAGCATGGCCATTTTCCCGTTATTGTCTGATTTATTTTTTGCTAATTGCATTTTTATTATTGTAACAACTAGTGTAATTCATAACATATGATTTCTTGGCCCGGTTTTCAGACATTCTTGAGCTAAGTTGTCGAATTAACGTTACCCATACTCGACACAAAATTAGCAATATGCAAAGCATTTTTCTTAAAGAATACTTCTTCGTCTTGCAAGGAAAAGCATAATTTCATGGATCACTTGATATTCCAAAAGTGACAGGTAAAATAAACAGGTACAATGTGACCAACAGGTGCTCGACACTCAGTGTCGCCAAATATACGATATGATGTTACAAACATTTTGGACAAATACATCATCTTGCCCAGCTTGCCCAGATAAAATGAACTTTCTGTGGCCCTAATCAAGTTATACTTTACAGCCAAGCTGTTCTGGAGAGAAATCGAAAATATCCTAGCACCTTTTTTTGGCAGGTAAACGTTAAGGGCAACATGTTGGGAAGATATGCCTTCATCGTATCGGCCTTTTTAAGTGTTAGTACAGTTGGACTTTTGGTACTTGTCCTCAATCGCCATTTTGATAACCCAAACGCCTCGACAAAACAGCAAAAGCGAGCCTTGTATATGTTTTCAGACGTCCACAATCGAAAAAACTCGGAGATATGTACAGCTCATGAATGCATCCAAGTTGCGGAATACATTAAGAAGAGTATAGATTCCACAGTAAACCCTTGTAGTGACTTTTTTCAATTTTCCTGCGGGGGCTGGATCAAGAGGAATCCAATCCCTAAGAGTTATAATGATTTTTCTACTTTTACTAAACTTTCCAAAGATATTGAGAAAGAAATTTACGAACTTCTTCAAATGTCACATGATGGTGCCCCTCAGAACGAGGCTCTGGTGAAAACAAGAGACTTTTACAGCTCCTGTATGGACACTGTCGCGATCGAAAGACTGGGAGCCAAACCCATGTTAGATTTTATCAGAGAAATTGGCTCTTGGAGTATCTGTAATGACGGAAGCTGGAATAAGTCTGCTTGGGACATTCATGAAGTATTAAAATATCTCCAAAGTACATACTACCCCGCCTCACCTTTCTTCTCTGTCGAAGTCACAAATGATCACCTTAATTCTACAAAGCACCTAATAAAGGTAAGAATACTCAGTTTAATCATAAACTTAAGTGGGTCATGATTGGCATTTTTTCCTCCCAACTTGGTTCGAGTCAGCTCATTTGTACCTCCGAATTCTTGACGTCCCTGAATGGTTAAAGACTTGTTTCGGCTCAGCCCAACAGCGGTTCACTTCTCGCTACCTGCTGGAGATAGAATGGTCTTGGAACAGTTAAGTCATCAATGACGTGCAATTTAGTTCAGTTTTCTAGGCACTGTCAACTAGTCAAACTCTGATGAGATAGTGGCAAAATGCAGTCTTATTTGGATCGTATGATTGAAAGTTGTCTTCCATCTTACCTATATTAAACATGGCCAATCGTATGAGAGACTGACTTCCTTTTCAAACGTACACTGTTGGGTGAGATCTAAGCACGAGAACTACTCTTTAGGAAAATGAATTTTAATGACCAATATTTGTTGTAATATTGTTAGGTTGATCAGTCCGGCTTGAGTCTACAAAGGGAAATTTACTTTAAACATCCTGAGGTAAGAAACATTATTTAGTTGAGAAGGGGAGAGTAGGAGACAAGTACCACATATTTTTCTACCAAATGGGGGGGGGGGGGGGGGGGGGGGATATACGGGGGGGGGAAAGAAGAAAAATTTGGGGGGGGACCAACAACACCAACCCCCCCCGCCACACTTGTTCTCTGTTGATTTTTTACTTATATTTATAATTTTTTTATAAATAATTAATTTTACTCATNACACACACCTTGTTCGCTTTCATGGCTATTTCACGACGTTGGTTATCCCCCAACCACTCACGTCAGTTGTGGGGCAATTGTCTCACGAAATTCGGCCATTTGTTTATTTTTTCCCTGTAGATGGTGGATATTTATGTAGATTACATGTCTAAAGTCGCAAAGCTTCTTGGAACAAAATGTAATACAACGGCAAAGATGCGCGAAATTATTGATTTCGAGAAAAAACTGGCTAAGGTAAGTATATTTTTTTTATGTTGTGACAGCTCTATGATTACAAGGGAACGATAAACAGTTTTTACCATAAACAAAACCATTTCAATCCTACCCGGGTATGTGCTTCCCTCGTAATAAGCTACAGTGAGAATCTATCATTTCTCCTTGATGGTTTTAGTTCACCACCTCAGCTGAGGGTAAAGCAGAAGGAATTTACCGAAGAATAAACCTTAAGACTCTCATCAAACTTGTTCCACAGGTGAGAGAAATCTACACTCCTAGTCTCTACTTTATTTGTTGCCATTTTGGCCTTTACATCTGACTTCTTCTTGCAAAAATTAATGGAAAAACCAGGGGCGTAGCTAGGGGGGGGTCCCGGGGTGCCCGTGACCCCCCCCTTGGTAGGCCTTCTTTTGAGCAAACAACCTACAATATTCAGGTGGCGAAAACGCCATGACAATATCTTGGCCGTAAAAGCCATTGTTGAAAAGCCCACTTTTTTAAAATTTGTTTTTTTGTAAAGTATTTTCGTCAACGGCTCTTGTCTTTAGTTAATATGGGCCTTCATGCCGCGATAATACGACTGAGCCCGCTGATACACGAGGGAGAGCAGCGGTATAAACCATATATAGTCGGCGATCCCCGGATGGTGACCCCCCCTTTGAAAAATCCTGGCTACGCCCCTGAAAACTTTTATTCCTTACAGAAAGTGACACATGGACACGACTACTCGTCACGACCTGGCCAGTACCTTACACGTGCGCAGAGCCAAATCACCCGGGCAATGGCATGGAAAGCTGTTTCGCGCTTATTAGGGCTCATCGGGTTATGGGCTCCTGGCAAGGCATAGCTGTCGGACTGTACGGTGCTGAGGGCAAAACAAAAGACTTGTCTACAAGTCAAGCTCATATTTTTTCACGAGCTCGAAGCGGCAGCGGTAGATTGTTTTGTTTTCTGCGGCAACTACCGGAACCGGAAATGTGAAGCGAAGGACTTTGAGAAAGTCTAGCAAAACAACTGTCTACGGCTGCCACTGCCGGGGTGACATGGCTGTGCGCATGCGTTAGGTACGGGTCAGGTAAGTCGTGGGTTGGTGCCTGTGTGTCGTTGATCCATCTTTTCCTCAGAAATTTATATCTTGAAGCTATACTATGGGAGTTTTCAGGTGTTCGAAAGACTTTATAATAGCTTATTTCAACAGAAAAAAGGGAAAATGTGTTATTCTTGTGTCTTTATGTAAATTTACCCTTGTGACTAATAAATTGTCCGCATTGATTTATAGTTTCCCTGGTTAGATCACATGCAGGCTATATTTAAAGAAGCACATGTAACTAAAACAGAGGTGGTGCTAGCTACATCGCCATCATATCTGCAGAAAATGACAAAACTTTTAAAAAGTACTTCCAAAGAGTAAGTATCGTTTTTAATCATCTGCCTGTTGTGCTCAACAAAAAGGGGAGGAACTCTGCGCACATTCTGTAGTAACAGAAAGACAAAGCTTATATACCACCAAATACAATTTGTTTTCCCCGCTGTTGCAAGCAAACTTAACCGTAGACAGAATCTTAGACATGTGAGTTGGAATTTTCCAAAAGATATCCTCGCTTAGTCCCTGTACGGCGTCTTCTCAGGCCTTCTAGTTCAGTTCATTTCAGACCGCGTGATCCGAAACGCATAGGCCGCGCGGAATAATGAGGCCTAGGAACTAGGCAAATCCTCACTGAGGTAAGAGAAGGATTCGATTGAGTTGTAAAGGTGATGTTACAACGGATGATTCGCAATAACGATTTTAGCGCAACACAGCGCAACACAACTTTAGTTCTGTTGTACTAAAAATCGACGTGGCGGATCGTCTCTTGTAACGTCCGCCTTAAAGGTCGACGGTTGATTGTAGTGTTCACTGACACACCTGTTGCTGAGGTGAACATTGGGAGAAATTTTCCTAGAATGTGGAAAACTAAAAGTGAAATTAATATCCCTGAGAGGTAACTTCTTAAGCGCGTTACCCTCTGTTTTCACGGCCTTGAACATAAACTTTGAGAGTGTGTGACGAGAAATTCAACGGCAAGATTACTTTCTCATTCCTTTGAAGAATCCTGTAGTGAACATTTAGTAATAAGAGCGATAATTGTATTTCTAGGTTACTATCCAACTACGTGGTGTGGCAAATGATTCGAGATAAAATTAGCTTATTATCCAGTCCATTCCGTAAAGCCCGAGCAAAGTTCAATGAGCGAATCTCTGGAGTCGAAGACACAGATCCAAGATGGCGGACTTGCACTGGCATCACTAATGATAATATGGGCGTTCCCATTGGCTCACTTTACGTCAGTAAATTCTTTGCTCAATCGGCAATTGAAAAGGTATAACTATTAGAGCCCTGGTGACGAGTTTGGTATTGCTGTCTATCTGACGAGCTCTGATGTGGCACATAGAATGAGACAAGCCATTTCTTAGTATTAATCTGCAATTTTGTGGCCATTTGTGTTAGTAATTTCGCCACCTTCACTCGCTCCTCATGCTTTCTTTTCTTTGATTTTTATTGAAAGGGAAGGGGAGTTGGAAACTAGCTATGCGAAATATAATTGTGCCTTGGATTCCTGTTGGATTGATGCCGAGAGTATCGGGTGTGGTCATATGCACGTTGAGATTGTTAAACAGCGATCCAAGACAACAATTTCCTTTTGTTTTAATTTTTAGCATAAAAAAGCCTTCGCTACGGCTTATCAAACTCAAGGAAAACATAGTGGCTACACTGCTATAGTCAAGGACGTCATCCAGGAGGGGGGTGGGGGAGGTTTTTCGGGGACCGTAACCGGGTTAGGGTCTGGCCTAGCGGATTTTTTTTTGTTGCTTTTTTTTTTGTTTTTTTGTTTTTCGTTGTTCCCTTGCTAAGCTGTAGTATAACTATCAAGAGTTCCAGGTCCTAACGATCGAAAGTTATCATATTCCGCCATATTCTTTGTTAGCTAGAGCCATGGTAACTGTATATATTTCTTTGCCTTCCAGACTCAGACAATGATTAATGAAATAATGAAGACGTTCAAGAATAGAGTAAAGAAGCATGAATGGATCGATGAAAAAACGACAAAATCTGTGTTTGAAAAGGCAAATATGTTATTCCATGCATTGCAAATCAAATCCTCCTTCCCTCTCACTATACAAAAGTACAGTAGCTATGGATTTAGAGAGAGTAATATAGCGGCAGTGTGAGGCGTATTCCATTGCTCCATTGCAAATGACATTGATGCTGGCTACTTTACCTCGCTGGCAATTGATATTAGCCCGATTGTGATTGCCTTGAACTAGACAAATTGTGTGTTTAATCTATTGTAATGGTGTGAAATATTTTTGTGCACATTTTTTAGAACATGACTAAAATATTTATAAATTGAAACATTGCTGTGCATGGCTTTATTTCAATCTATTAGGCGGACGCCCTAGGAAGCAAGATTGGTTACGCGAAATATGTGGTGCAACCAGAGGAACTTGTCTCACGCTTTAAAAATGTAAGTCGTTCGATTCTCATAAATTACATAGAGCGGTTTCTCATTGAGGGTCCTAGAATCAAAGCCAACATAATTATAAAACTCCTTTCGACATCCAGTACTATCCAATTCAAGAGTGTCAGCAGTTTATAACCATCATGATATTGTTGTTATCGTAGCTCAGGATTGCATCCAAAAAGTTTTTCAAAAATAACCTGGAAGTAGACAAGTGGGTGAGACGTCGACTATTTAACAAACTGCGAAAGCCCGTCGACAAGGAGAAGTAAGTTTTTACATTTACTGTTACTTAGATCTATTTTCGAGTTGCAAACGATTCATCTGAGATATCATAATACCAAGGATAGTGGATTAGAAAAATCTGTCTTTTAAATTTACATTAAAAATTGACAGACTTTATCTTGTTTACACCTATTAGACATCAAATTATAAAAGAAATTAATGTTACCAGCCAATGGTTTTACTTAAAATTTTTATAATAAAAAATTTTTCACTGCTGAATCCGTAAATGGGGGTGGATTTTCACCGGTTCAGTCCATAGCACCGTTTTCAAAGTTCATACACTTCAATTAATCAATCAATCAATCAAATTCAAAATACCGTATATTTTAAACTGTTGTGTATTTACTGTATTTACAGGTGGCCCATGTTTCCTCAAACAATAAACGCGATGTATCAATTCTATGAAAATGAGATTGGTAAGCAACAGAGCCTCGGAGCCGAGTCATCTAAATAAGAGCTGGCAGACAGTCGGACATGCAGTTTTAAACACCCAGCTGAACACTAAACCCTAAACCCTTCCGTCATTAACATATGAATCCCTTCCGCCAGCGCTTTTCCCAATCAGTGCACGGTAATGTTTCCAAGAAACGCGATAAAACAATGCAATGTCACCGCCTTTGATTATGGCCATCAAGTGACATCATCTTGGTGACAAGTTTAAACAGACGAATTGTGAGATGCTGTCCTAGCTGGCCGTTTTTGTTTTTACTTGTTTTTTAACGTTCCCACTGTTTCGCTCAAAACTGGAAACAGTTCACCAATGCTGATTTCCTTTTACTTTTCCCCTTGATAGTTATCCCAGCTGGTATTCTACAGTCCCCATTTTTCTACCCTGCTAACATTCCACGGTAAGTCTAACAATCAATACCCCACTGCCTTTGATTCCCATTACGCCTTCCACAATATTTTCGATACGCACTGCATGAACAGTCTTTCGAAAAAAAAGCTCGTACGCAGAAGTCGACTCATTGATTATTCAAGGCAATAAAAACCTGCCTGGAAAAAGACAGTGAGGTTTACGTGAGATGGCGGGGAGGACGAAGGAAAAGATGGGTCGTTCCCGTTTTTTTAAAGTGTGCATCATTAGCAACTGGTTTATTGTTTATTCCATTGCAGGTCGCTTAGTTACGGAGCCTTAGGGTCCATTATCGGACATGAGATAACTCATGGATTTGACAACACTGGTTAGTAAATAAAGGCTGAACAACAAATTTACAGTTACAAAGACCGAAACTGGAAAAATCTTAAAATGCGGACAAAACTGTCTTAAAAACAAACAGCAACTTGAAGGTACCATCGAAGACGGGAGACTTTTAATCCCATTTTGACACTCACGCAACGGGAAAACAAAATGTGATCCAGTTTGCCTTAACAGAAAGCTTCATCTTGTTTTTCTTTTTCCTAACTGTTTTTAGCTTATGAACGTATGCTTTAACTTTTGGCTGTTTTTTCATCAAACTAGGTCGAAAATTTGACAAAAATGGAGACATTGTGAAAGAATGGTGGTCCAATTCGTCCGTCAAGGAATTTAACAAGAAAGCAAAGTGTATTGAAAAGCAATACTCCAAATACAAAGTACAAGGAAAGTATCCGGTAAGCGGCTTCATTTTGTAGACCCCTGCCCCCCCCCCCTCCCCCCTAGGCTTGCCTTTTATCCTCCTTAACTCTCGTGGTAACTTAATTATGGGGGATCGAAATGTCCTTCTAACTACTATACTGTCGAGGCTCTAAACCGATGAAATTCTGTGATTTAACCATTTAAATTAAACAGTGTTCTGGCGTGAAATTATTCTTTCTTTTTTTCCCTTTTTTTAAGGGAGGGGGGGAGGGAGACGGGGAGGTGGTAGTGGTGGAAATTGGTGAGGTTTCCTCGAATTCAGAGTTAGGCGCTCTTAAGATTTCAAAAATAAATGATACGGCCTCCTATATACCTCTTTCATTTTTGCTGCAGATCAGTGGAAAGGTGACCCTTGGAGAAAACATAGCTGATAATGGAGGCACAAAGCTGTCGTATTTTGTAAGTAACGTTACTATTACAATAACCTTAATATTAACTGTAAATACGAATACTTTAGTCACTCAGATAGACCAGTTAACTAGTATAGTATACTTTACCGTAGGGTGAAGAATCATAGTCTGAGAAAACAGCCCACATTTAAAAACGCCACCACTGGTTTCCCCGTGTAATGACGTCAGAGAAACGAGAGCAGAAATTCCAGACTCTTGTACGCGTCACTACCCAGCTCTGGGTAGTGCTTCTGTGTTGTAGTGGCGTCGGCCGTTTTCTCATGTTGAGTAATTCATCGCACCAGCGAATCAGTCAGCTTCAACGAAATTGTGGAATCTAGCTCCCACTTTGGATTATCTCGATTATCTTTCAAGATAAAACCTTTTTCGTTGTTAACAAAATCGCTTTCGCCCGCACCTCCACACGCGACGCCATTATTCTCTCACATTATCCTTTCTTGACAACACTGAACAAAACTTTGCAGACCTCTCGGGGAACCCGCTTCCGATTAAATTCAAGCGTCTAATTGATCTAAAAATAACTTTGGTGCAATTCACGTATCCCAAAAGCTCAGTAGACTGGACGTTTCCGTTTCTGTCCTTTTGTGGCTCTTGATCACACAGATCGTTGTTGTTATGACTTTTATGCGTTTTCTAGACTAGTCCATGGGCTGTGTAAACTCAGTAAAAATAATGCAACAGGGATGGGTTGATCATTTTCATATATGTACAACAACTCATTCTCTACCGCTGCTGCTTCTTTGATAACCAGGCTGTTCCAGCTGTTCAGATGGTGTGGACGGAGCAATGAAATGTGAGCAGAAAAACAAAAAACAGGCTACTTCTTTGAAGAAGTGCACATCTCTCCGTCCTGACATCACCATCATTAGAGGTTTGGCAACAGCTCAGACCTTGCTTGAAAAAGCTCCCTCTGCCGGCGGCTTATACAGAAACTCCTGAGCTCGACTTGTGGCAAGTCTGAGACCTTGCCTCTATGACTCAAGCGGTCAAAAGAATTCGTGAATTTGGGTAAAGCAATTTTGTTTCGAGTTCCAAATGAAATTTTTTGAATTACATTATTCTTCTAGTAAAACAAAGCCAGCAACGGCTAAGAATGACTCTGTTGACAAGTTTTTGAATGGACAAAAACGTGAACGCCTTTCGTTTACACGGGACCTGCGGAACCGTGCAAGTTTTCATCAACGGCAAACAGTACTGCAGTCTGTAACAGACTTTGCATTGTTCCGCGTAAACGGGTTGCTTATGTAAAAGTTTCGTCCGCCAGACCCGTGTAAATGGGGTCTAAGTTCATTTGTTTTTGTCTCACTTCCTCAAAGGCTTATCACGACTGGCTGCATCAGACTGGTAACAAGGAATTTCTCCTTCCTGGTTTGGAATACAGCAACGAACAATTGTTCTTCATTGGATATGCACAGGTCAGGACTAAAAACAAAATAACATACATAGTATATTTCACGAAATAGACAACCCGATTTTAAAATAGTGCCTTTATCTTAATATTATAGTCGTCCATCCACACTAAACTGGCAGATAGTGTAAGCACGCGTTACGAAACCGGCGAGGCCAGCCTCCGAAACACTCCCAAACTGATGAAACCGGACAGTTCATATGGATCTCGACGAATGAAAACACAGAATTATTGCTTCGGTATTTTGAGAAGGCAGTGCCGAAAAAGGTTTTAAAAAAGCCAGCCGTTTTATACGGAATCTTATAAAGACAGTATTGGAAAACAGGCCTCGAGTGGCTGACTTTAGGTGATCTTTTGTGTTGCTTATGTACGCAGTAAATAAAAACGGATTCTTAGGGGATGAGTGTTTGTAATCATTTTTGCAGGAGTACTGCAGTCATGCAAGACAAAAAACGGAATACATTGCTACATTGAGTGAGATTCATGCTCCCCCCAAGTTCAGGCAAGTCTTGGAAAAATTAAGGGATATTTATTCGTGGATGAGGTAAAATTGCTCAGTGCTTCTTTACAAATTAAAAGGGTTTTTCCCCTGTATCTGAGAAACAAACGTTGAACACTTCATGGCAGTTCATAATTGCTTTTGAGATTATTTAGGCCGTTTATCACGGTAAAAATGTCATTTGGGACCAATCTATTGGCCCAGAGTTTGCTGAAAAAATGATCACAGGCACAAGTTACAACAGAATGAGGTGGAGCGCTAAAACTGAGGGGTAACAACATTGCAGAACTGACTGAAAACAGGACAAAACAATAACAGCTCAGTTTCAATTTGATAGTAAGGTATTTAACAAGCAAAAGGGCTGAACCTTTCTTGCATGTGTTGTAATACTGTGTTATAATATCAGTTGGAAATGAGAATCAATTTACTTTTCTGTTTCAGGGTTATTGGGACGCTTTCTAATTTTAAAGAGTTTTCCGTGGCATTTAACTGTCCTGTAAATAGCACCATGAATCCACGGACGAAGTGTGAGGTTTGGTGATCGACGAAATGGCGCTTGTGACCCTAACCTGCGTCAATGGCCATGCCAGTGACTTATACTTCATAGTTCCGCACTTGTTGTTCGCTTTCTACATTCGCGAACCGGAAAAGAAGCTCATGAGGTCAAAGGAACCATTGCAAGCGAGTCTTGTTTGTGCTTATTATCATCGACGCACGCGTCATACTTGCCTGATATATCCGCAGGGCGGTTTAATAACCTTCAATTTTGCAAAATGTCAGAAGTCAATGGAAAACTGAATTTTTGAACTCAGCGAGGCCAATGTTTCAGAGATCGTTCATTGCATGATATGTTGGAGAGCTGGACAATGAAACGCTAAATAGTAAAGCACATAAGGCTTTTTAAGTCAGCTTGTTTTGCTTTCCTGTTTTGGCGTAACTGGAATAAAAGTTCACATCATTTCTGATGGAAATCAACAAATGATGCTCCCTCATGACTTTAATAAACCATCACTGTTTTGAAAGTACTCTAAAAATTACCCTTCCCCCCCCCTCCCCCCGCCGCGAAAAAAAAACATCTTTCATGATTCTTAGACATGTAGCTGAAGCGAAGGGGACGTGTGAAGTGTGTGTGCCTATGGTGGAGGGGGTGGGAGTAAATTTATCTTCCTCTTTTTAGCATTTCCGTCTTTTTAATTTCATTTTTTGTTATGTCATAAATAAATCTAGTTTATGTTTCCAAATTTATAAGAACCATTTCAGTTTCTATCCAAAGCGCGCGTGTTTTATTGCAACGTTTTTCTAATTGGTATATAAGTTCGCAAATCTTGGCTCGCGAGCACCCAGAACGTTTCAAGCGTTTCACGTTACAGTCTAGTCCCGTCTCGATCCCCTCGCTTTCCTTCCTGACTCGTTGTTGTCCTTGCCGTATGTCTGCAGCATTTCGTTTTTTGTTGGGAATTTCGTCAAATAAGACATGCATAAATCGAAGGCAAATAGTAAAAAAAAAACAAGGCTAACTCAGACTTTACAGCTATGAGATTACATTTTCTTCAGGGAAAAGGACGTACTACAGACTATATTCAAACAATCGTTTGCTTTCGGAATTTTTTGATTTTTGAAAAAAAACAGCCCCTGCCTTGCTAAAACCCACGGAAGTGCCCACAAGGTCCTTGCTCCCACCACCTGAGACGCACCGTAAAAAAAGTGCCCAGACCGCCAGCGCAAGGGCGCATGACATTCTGTGAAAACCGCAATACCGATTATGTCCGCACCCGCACAACTTCAAAATGGCCGGCGCTGGTGCAAGTGAAAATGACGGTACTTCAGTAGAGCCTTCCCCGGCAAATACTGAGCAACAAAAAAAGGAAATGTCCGTAGAACTGAAAAAATCCCTACGTAAAGGTGATACCTGGTAAGTTTATTGTGACAGGCCATGTTAATTAAAGTTTAAAATTACATTCCATTAGAATTTGCCTTGTCAGGAGGGAAACGGAAGTGAAGTTGGTTTCTCCCGTGAGATTAACTTTCTCTTTGTCAAGACTTATCGTACATTTGCACTAATTTTGCTTCAGGGTACAGATAAGTCATTATTCCTCTCGATATTTTTTCCATTCGTCAACAGAGGGACGATTTTTAAGTCGTCGTGAACGGGCCGGCGTGTGCTTGTTGAAAAAAAAAACGAGAAAATTTGATAAAAAGGGCATAAAAACTTAGTTCTCTAGTGTCAGCATATGTTGCCAAGACAGTTGAAACATGGGAGGGTCTACAGATTACCCTGTTATCCCAACCATTCTAATATTTGGATAGGTGCTCATTCCTCTCTTTTTAAATCTGTTTTTCCTTTTTAGTAAAAAAAGTAATATAACTGGCAGAGATTCAGCAAGCTCTTCCACCTTCCCAGGGCTGTCACTAAGTGGCTGGGAGCTGGAATTTTCCTAGGCTGATATTAGCATGACCCATTTGCACTAATTTTGCTTCAGGGTACAGATAAGTCATTATTCCTCTCGATATTTTTTCCATTCGTCAACAGAGGGACGATTTTTAAGTCGTCGTGAACGGGCCGGCGTGTGCTTGTTGAAAAAAAAACCCAGAAAATTTGATAAAAAGGGCATAAAAACTTATTTTGCTTCAGGGTACAGATAAGTCATTATTCCTCTCGATATTTTTTCCATTCGTCAACAGAGGGACGATTTTTAAGTCGTCGTGAACGGGCCGGCGTGTGCTTGTTAAAAAAAAAAACAGAAAATTTGATAAAAAGGGCATAAAAACTTAGTTCTCTAGTGTTAGCATATGTTGCCAAGACAGTTGAAACATGGGAGGGTATACAGATTACTCTGTTATCCCAACCATTCTAATATTTGGATAGGTGCTCATTCCTTTCTCATAAATCTGTTTTTCCTTTTTAGTAAAAAAAGTAATATAACTGGCATAGATTCAGCAAGCTCTTCCACCTTCCCAGGGCTGTCACTAAGTGGCTGGGAGCTGGAATTTTCCTAGGCTGATATGAGCATGACCCTCCAAATAAATGTTGCAACAGTTTTTACATTTATGTGACATGCCCGAGAGAGCATGTTTCACAATAATTAATCAGCAATGAGAAAAGCAAGATTTATTTGTTGTTTTTCAAGGTATCTTGTTGACTGTCACTGGTTTAAACAGTGGAAAAAGTTTGTTGGATATGATAAATGGGATCAGTATGGGGCTGGAGAAGAGATCAACAATCCTGGGCCTATAGACAATTCAAGCCTTTTGACTGGTAAGAACAATTTTAACACTATTCTCAAAATATTTTGACTTCACTGGTTGACAGTGATACATGTAACGGGCAATTATTTATTTATCCTTGGAATACCATGGCCATAAAAGGAAATTAGAGGGCTGAAAAAAACAATGTACATTCTGTAGTTTTGTAAAGTTTGTGTTCAAACAGATGGATCACATTGTCCACTGGATCAAATTATGGATGTTTTTTGGATAGTGCTATCCAACATTTGATAACTGAGGTCTTGTGGTCTGCATATTTATATCATCATGAGCAGTGAGATAAGATGAATCAGTAACTGATTTCATCCAGTGCTTTTTTATGGTACAGTATATACCATAAATGTCTCCTCTATCACTAGGTTTTACTTTCAGTTGAAATATACATGAACCCTTTGGCAGGTGTGTCTATGAATACAAAATTGAGCCATTTATGGGATATATTATGCCTTACGTTTTGAAGACATTGCACAGTTAGTATGTGTTCATATTTTCTGTGTTTGAATAGTAGTATGCAGCATGTTTTATAGTGTCCTGTCTAAGTAGGTGAAGCTCTACTTCCAAGGTGCTTATATGTCATCAAAACTGACCAAGCCTAAGCTTTTTCATCCACGTGCCCTTATTCACTCACTGGGGTGCCTTTTTTAAACATTTCATTTTCTGTAGCTGATGGAGTCACTTTAAAGGAACATTTAATAGATGAACTGGATTATAACCTGTTACCTGAAGAAGCATGGTTCAAGCTGGTGTCATGGTATGGAGTGTCATCAGATCAACATGCTTTGCCAAGGAAAGTTGTTGAACATGGGATGTATCTAAAAAGCTGTAAAGTGGAAGTGTATCTTATGGAGTTCAAACTATCTCAGCACTCTGATCCAGACACCCTAATCCCAAAGAAGTTCAGCAAAGGGGATACTGTTGGTGAGTCCTAATTCTAAGTTCTTATTTCTTTGAAACTTTATTTTACTGGTCTTCGCAGAAATCATATAAAGTTGAGAATACCTTGTTGTTGATTTTTAGACTTGTCCCTTGCTTACTGCAATGTGTAATGTGGATAAAACTAAAGGAATTAAAACAAGAATAAATAATTACATATATAAATAAAAGATGAAACTGAGCCACAATTTTGACAATAACTTATTTACCAGAGAGGGGATGCCTTGCCAGAAAGCTGTAAGGTCAATATCTTCTTTATTAACTGTCTGTGAGGTGAATAGTTATTGGTTTTAATAAATGCATATGTTGCAGTTAATTTTTTGTCTCGGGTAATTTTTCTTTTTCTTTTGTTTTTGGGTATGGTAATGTATGCTAATAAAGTTGAAACTAAAGAAAAATTATAAAATTACCCGAGATAAAAAATTAACTACAACATTTATTTTGCTTTTTAAATCTATATGCAGGGTTAAAACAGAATTTTCCTTGTCTCCTATGAATAATTAGGGCTAGGCAACAAAGGAAATTCTGAATCAAATCACCTGTAGGTTGAATACTACTTGACTGTACAGGTGCACTCAGTCAGTTGATAAAAGCTTCAGGACATGCTCAACTTTTGACAAACAAGGAAGAAAACCTATATGTTCAACAATAGTGACATTGGTGGTAGTTAAAAACCTTCCTCCTTTTTCAAGTAGCAAACTAAATGAGGTTAGAGAATAAGTAAGATTTTTAAATGGAATCTACATACACTTTACATTAATAAATTATGTTGTTTGCACTCTACTATTTAGGTCATGTTATGTCCGAAATGAAGAAAGTTTTTAACATCACAGAGGACACTGAAACAAGATTGTGGAATAAGTACATGAGTAATTCATGTGAACTTCTTCCAAATATGGAGCAAACAGTACAGGATGCTGGTCTTTATCAGGGGCAGGTAAGGCAAATGATAACACGGTCATTCTTGTCCCCATAGTTGTAATCCTTTTAACCAATGCCATGGATCAAGCTCTTGGCCTGTGACACTAGCATAGGATTGCAGCTACAGAGATGAGAATGCATTGCAGTTCAGTCTCTCAGTGAATGGGCTTCCTGCGGGGAAGATAGATGCGTCTGCTTAGATCTCTAACACGGCTGCGTAATCTGTGATGGCAATTTTAACTTGTTTGCCAACAGCTAAGGACAAAGTAAGTGGCTAGGGAAGACTAAGTACTACATGTACCAGCTATCGAAATAGCAACATTTTTAAGGCAGACTTCTCCTTGTCGTATTAAAAAAACCATTTTTCTGGAAGCTTATCTCCCTATCAAGCTGTCTTCCAAGGTGGATGCCAGCTCTTGTCTTGTCACAGATGACCATTCTCCAGCGACAGAATATTGTTTGTCTGTAGCCATACTCTCTAAAGAAGGACATGTGTCTAAAGCACTTAGCTGAAACTAATCCCATGGGTTTAGAGAGGGACTCCATTGTTTAGTTAATGTCTATAACTTTGAATGTGACTTCAACATTCTGTTGAATATTTTGACATACAGCTATGGTGAATTAACTAGAGTATCTTCTTTTGCTGTGTTTCTAAGGTTCTTATTATAGAGAAGAAGAATGAAGATGGTACCTGGCCCCGACAAACAAAGCAAAGGTAGTTTACAGTGTTTTAATATGATTTTGCTGGACCTGGCCGGGAAGGAAGTGAGACTAAAGTTCACCTTGCTATGGAACAAATCTTGGCATGTTATTAGCATGAGAAAACATGTCTATCATTTTTAAAGTAGACGGTTTTCTCATTTTCATTTCTTTAGCTTTTAAAATTATTGTATTTCAGTGAATGTTATGTAAATAATAACAGTTGCTTTTATTGTTGTTTTGTTTGCAGTTCGTACTCAACTTCAACGGTAAGTTTTTATATCTTACCTTTTTACCTGAGTAGTCAATACTGTTCATGGTAGATCCTCCCTTAAACTGCAAAATAAATGAGCAGTCTGTTGACTATAATATTGTTATTACTATGCCTCCAATGGCTGAGCGGGAATGTTTGATAAGCAAGTTCTATTTTCTCTTAAAAAATCTTTCATTGCAGGTGTTAATTATTAACTCTTTTATCTGCAGATTACATCAAGTAGCTCACACAGCAGTCAGCCATCAAGTTCTTATGGGTGAGCAAAGTTGCCTTTTCAACTTTCTTATAAAATTAATGATTGATAAAGCTTAGAAAAGTGCATGTACCTGTTTACCCAATTGCAAAGTAGAAATTATAGTTTATTGCAAGAGCCAACCTAAATGCATTGTTTGTGGTGTCTTTGTATTTAAGTGTAACCTATAACAGAAAAGAACCTCTAATAAACCTAAAAACATATGCATCCTACACCTGTTTCAGATATGGTAGCAGTTACAGTTCAAGAAGTTCTTGGGGATATGATGGGCGGAGGTCAAGCAGTTCTTTGCCAGGGCTAACAGGCCTTGGAAATCTTGGAAATACTTGTTTCATGAACTCTGCTTTGCAGTGCTTAAGTAACTCAGTTCCATTGACTCGATACTTTTTGTCTGACAAGCACAAAGAGGAGCTGAATCGTGATAATCCTTTAGGAATGAGAGGTGAGATAGCCAATGCTTATGCAGGGCTTTTACATCAAATGTGGAAAGACCAATACAGCTCTGTGGCACCTCGACAATTCAAGACGCAGGTTGGACGCTTTGCGCCACAGTTTTCTGGTTACCAGCAACAGGACTCCCAGGAACTTCTTGCATTTTTGCTGGATGGACTTCATGAGGATTTAAACCGGGTAAAAAAGAAGCCATATGTGGAGATGAAAGATGCAGATGGTAGGCCTGATGAAGTGAGTTTCTTATACACTTGTTAGAGATCTTTAAGTCTTAGTTCAAACATTGAACGTTTCCTGTGTGGAACTTAATACCTATTTAGGTTGACCGCAATGATGAAAGTTTGACGGTGGATTCAAACGTCAAACTTAAATCAGGTTGGACTTGATTTTTTTTCACAATGTACATTTGTCTACAATGCTTGCCAGTGAAAATAAAATTAAGTATAGAAATTATGCATTAGTTTAGGCACATGAGAAGTTCAATATTTGAAATGAAGTCGCTCCACAGTCAAAATTCACGTCTGGGCCACTCGATCTTAATTCTTGGGTTGACCCAAATTAGATATGTTGGACTAATTTGATTCGAATGTCGATTTCTTAAAGTACTTGAGGATTAGGTTTGGTACATAGAAAGGTCCGTGTTTGAATTGGGCCTAAGATACCTTCTACTAAGTGTGGTTTTCTGGGTGAAACTAATATTAATTATTTTCATATATGTTGTCATTTCAAGTTGTTTTAGAGGAACAGTAAACTCTCTCTTAATGGATAGGGGTTCAGTAAGGGGGTTTGGAGGGGTTAGGAGTGGTGAAGACCTCTAAGGTGAAATCAGACATTAAAAGGTTGGTCCATACAGTTCTTCACTCATTTTCTCTGGCCCTCTGTGCAGCAGATATCTTTATAAGTTATGGGGTCCACCTTAAAGACCAAGATTACTATATAATTATCTCCTGCCTGTTGACTGTAGCCTCAAAACTCTGGGCCAAGAAAAGAATTACATTTAACTAATTTCAAAATTATCTTCAGTAGTCACAAAGATTTTTTTTACATTTTAGGTTGTTGCTAAAGAGTCTTGGCAAAATCACTTACAAAGAAACAACTCTATCATTGTGGACATATTTCATGGACTTTTCAAGTCCACTCTGGTTTGTCCTGATTGTAGTAAGGTCAGTATGCCTACTGGTATGTTTTTTAAAACGTTTAGTAACAAAATATTTTTTCTTTCCTTGGCATGCTCATGATTGATTGTAATCTATATTAAACAGCAAATAATATATTTTATATTAGATGATATTATATTAATATACTGTTGGATATATTAAGCACCTCATTGATCCCTCCCAGGTGTCAGTGACGTTTGATCCATTCTGCTACCTTTCTTTACCGCTGCCAGTCAAAAAGGAGAGGAATCTTGATATATTTCTGGTGCGAAGTGATCCTCTTCGGAAACCCATACTGGTGAGTATAAAATTAACATTCATATAATTTATTATGCTGCTTTTCATTAGTATTATCATTACACATTCAAATAGACCTTTTTACCAATACAGCAGCCATATTGAATTAATTGGATTTAAGGAATATTATAGGATGCCCAGGGGGCTACTCGAATCAGTATTTACGCCCGTTTTATGGGCCGATTTTTCTTAAAGTTTTCCTAGAAAAAAATTGTAATGGAAAAAATAGATTGTTGTGCCTTGTTTGGATGTAATGATGATCACCTTTTTGCCAAGAAATATATATTGAAGTTCTCTTTTTGCCCGAAAAGCACGCATAAATGCTAAGCGAGTGCCCCCTGGGCATTCCATAATACTCCTTAAATCTAATAAATTCAATATGGCCACCGTATTAGTAAAAGGTCTATTATGTCTTATTACAATACACTAAGTCATTCCTATGGATTGTCATATCTATTTTGTTTCTGTTGCAGTACAAATTGACGGTGCCGAAGATGGGAAATATTGCTGATTTACTTGCTATTCTCTCAAAGGAAACAAACATTCCCAAGGAAAAGGTTGTGTAACTTGATTTACACACTCACAAATGCACTCATATCCAAAAAAAATAAACACAAAACCATAACCAAACAAAACACAGCGATGGCTAATCTAATGCTAATGTGGAAGTTTCATTTTAACTAGTTTGTTAAGTAAGTGTGTTGTCAAAATCCTGTGTTGTGACATTCAAGGTAAAAAGATATTTAACGAACTTGAAGTGCTTGGAAAAATTTGTGAGGAAATCATAAATATACAATTTTGTTGTTGGAAAGTATCACCGATACTCACCCATATTCAGAAAGCTCATGCAACTTCTGTTGTCTGTTTGTTTCACAGATGGTAGTAACAGATGTGTACAATCACAGGTTTCATAAAGTGTTTACTCTCAATGAGTCACTGACTCAGATTCTTGACAGAGATGACATCTTTGTGTAAGTGGTACATGTAGTATAACTTACTCTTTGTAACCATGTTGGAGTAAAAGTGATCAGTGTTCCAGTTAAGAGGCAGGTCTCGGGTCAATGAGATGATATAAGTGTTAAGTTAAATATAACGAACAAAATTAGCATGTCGTCTTGGTGAACCCTCAGTTGGTCTACAAGACCCAATTGTGCTTTAACACAATCAAAAATACAACAAGTACAACACTGATATGTGAACTGTAGCCTGCTGTTCATTCAGCAGAGACCTTTTCAGCTGTTGCTTCTCCGCCAAGAAATGTTGATGGAGCAGATGAGAGAAAAGTGATCTTTACGGTGTTTTAATGAACTAGGGTATTGAAGAAGAGCCACATTAGTTTTTCAAGAGATTTTTTAACTGCTTAATTTGGTCACGTAGCTATGAGGGTGGCATTTCTTTTTTGTCACTATTGATAGAAACAAAGGAAGTTTAATTATTGTGCAAAAAAGGCCTAAGCAAGTATATAGTACAATATTAGGAAACCATGGTTGTAATGCTTTGTTATATTACAGTTATGAGCTGCTGCATAGCAAAACTGAAGATGACAGTGATGAATATATTACCCTCCCTGTTTACCAAAGAGAGAAAAGGTATGTTTCCACAACTTAACTTGCCTTGCTGGTTAAACATTTACATTCATGTGCATCTGTCAATTCTGGTAATGCCACCATCCGTATTGTTTTTTAGCAATATCCCCCACCCTCAACACCTATTTGTATCTTCTTGTACTTTTACTTGTGAAAAAAATAACACTTTGGAAAACTATCATTTTAGACTAAGATATGAGGCTTACATGAGGACACAACTGAGGAGAGAGGAAACTCTTGTTGCCCTTGCACCTCTCGTTCCTCTCTCCTGGTATATGATAAACTTGTAAGGCTTATCTTTCACGTAGCAGTTTGTAAACAGGCTGTCCAAGGCCAATTTTGAGGTATAACTCTGTTTCTCCTTCTCCTTCTCCGTTTCCTCTTGGCAGAGCGAGACTGTCTGGCTATAGCTATTCAAGTTCTGGTAAAACACTGTTTGGACTCCCACTGATGGTGTCTGTTCCAAGGAATAACTTGACTTACAAGAGATTGTACAATTTCTTATTGGACAGATTGAGGTAAGTTATTGACACAAACATGTCATTACAAAGAAAAAAAAGTCAGTGAATGTACAGCGTTACAATTCACCCTGTTTTGCCAGCTATAAGATACTGTAAGGACAAGTTAGATTCTCAACTTTGTAAACCATGCATAACACTTCTCCGGTCTTATCAGTATCGGTTTTTGTTCCACTGGCTTTCCTCCTCTTTGTTTTTTTACGTACATTTCAAGGTCATTAAGTTAAAATACTCATGAAAGACACCATTCTCAACAAAATGGGACTGGCAATGTTGTTCAAGAGGTAAACACATTTTTCACCGCTTAATTAGGTAGCATTGGGTAAGTTTCATGAGTTTTTTTTGGCTCAATTAAGATTTCTGGAAAAGTGCCCACCTACCCCTCCCCTAAGTCAACATTAACACTTACCTCTCACTTAGGGCAAAATTGTGACTTGGGGGAGGGGTAGGCGAGCAGTTACATAGAAACCTAAATAGATTACTTTTTTTCTTCAGACGCTTTATTTCGTTACCTGAGGAGGAAGCTGAAAAGGGATGTAAAAAGGAAGAAAATGGCGGGGATGGTAAGTACTGCACGTGCATCTGCTTTCCAGTTGTTCAAATGTAATGGAGCTCTTTTAATTTAAAAAAAGACAAAACTGACATATCAAAATAATAATCCAAACTGTAAAGATCTGTTTTCGTGTTTTAAGATGTTGAGATGAATGAAGATTGTGGTGAAAATGAGGATTCTGAGGAAAGAGAACTGGAAAAGGCCTACCAAAATGTTCATGTCAATGTAAGTAAAAAACAGTGAACACAGTTAAATATTCCTAGTAATATTCTCTCACAACAAATCAAAACAGAATACAAATTAATGTCCTACATGCCGTTTCTAATACGATTCTCGTTTAAGTGGTAATTAATGATCTCAGTGCTCATTCTAGTCCCTGAAAATCACTGTAAGAGGTACTGTAGTTTTTATGTGGGTTCCTTCCCTTAGACGTACTTTTACTTATTGTTTTGTTTCTTACGTTTTTTTCTGCAGAGTGATGAAAATGAAGATGATAATGTTGATACACAGAATGGCGACCACGACAGTTCAAATCAAAAGAGCAAAGTGAACACAGAGTGTAAAGGAAAAACAAAAAACCCGCTCTTCAACTTGACTCTTGTAAACTCATACGGCAGTGCTGATATCCAGGCCTTGCAAGATGATGACAAGATTCTTAAACTTACAGGTTAGGAAGAGAAGCTCGATGCGCAAGTGAGTGCTTTTCGCAATCTTCAAGTGTTTAACCTTGATGTTCAATCCTACAATCACTGTGCGTTAATTCAGTACGCCAGCTAAGTTTCCTTTGATACCTTTTGATGTGTCAGTATTCAGCGGTTTTCATTTTTGGATGCTTTGGTTAGTGAAAGCGGTAATTAACTTGTGTTTGTCTGATTTAAAGGACGCTGCTTCCTCGCTCTTGACTGGGATTCAAAAGTGAAGGACAAGTATTATGATGAAAAACTGGCAGAGGTGACTATCTTTTGGTTTATTTAATCTCAGTTGTAACGGAGTTCTAGGGGCCATCACTTGTCACATCACGCAACCCTCATAATTATACTGTCAAGAGGTCCTGCCAAGGGGGTGGGGGGTTGAGGAGTGCTACGTCGCTCGTCTGAATTTTAAAACGTCTCGTGTCTGTGTTTATAAATGCTTCACGTCGCTGTTGGAAATTGAACGAAAGTTCTTTGTCTTTGTCGGAATTTTGGGAAACTAATGCCTAAAATGTTCATTTTGTGCATGGAATCTTGAAAGGTTGTTATTTAGGTATAGATTTTTAATGAAACGGCATTATTTAACTTTTCCTTTGTAAGATTAAAATATTTAATTTGTATTTTCATTCTCAAGAGAAATTAAATGGTTAAATAATTAGTCTCAGACGACAATGTGTGTGAAAACATCTCTCTTCTATCAAATAGTGTAACTAATCAAATGGCTGTCTTTCAAGGGAACCCGTTGTAATTTTGGTTGTTTTCTTCTTTCGAAGGAAACTGAAGAACATGAAAGCGTGAACAGGAAACCAGCACAGAAGAAGAATTGTGTTGGTTTAAATGACTGCATTGAGCTCTTTTTATCCAAAGAAAAACTTGGTGCAAATGATCCATGGTAAGCCGGGTTCAACTGCTATGATGATCTGTCTCAGATTCACTGGTATTTTAAGGGAACCACATATGTGTTTGTCTACAAAACCAGCGGAGATGATCCAGTTCGTGTGACCGCACGATCACTACAGCAAACAAACTAGACTAGTGAAGAAAGAAAAATTGTTTGATCAAATTTATAGAACGGAAGCAAAGCCAGATCTTTTTGTTAGAGTACAGTCTCTTAACGGATCCCTCTATAAGATGGACACGTGGTGTAAGTCCCAATCCTGCCGTTTTTCTGGTCATTTTGCTGTAATTTACGTCCTTTTATGCTGGACACCTCTATAAGCTTGTTAAAGAAGGACATTAAGGGATGGCCCCTCGCCATGGTGTTTTCTGTCTCAGGCTTAGCTGACTGTGGTTTGTATTTGAAGTAACCCACTGTTGAACAAGGCAGGCGTTAAATTTAGTCCATGGTTTAATGTTATTTTCCTTCGTTTTTCTTGGGTATGATTGAAACAGTAGAAAATAAGATTTAAACCCAGGATAAAACTGAACGCAACATTTATTATTCAGGTACTGTCCGTCGTGCAAAAAACATCAACAAGCTACCAAGAAGTTTGATCTTTGGTCGCTTCCTAAAATCCTTGTTGTTCACCTCAAACGGTTCTCTTATAACAGGTTAGTATCATGGTGTCTTAATATGAGTTTGAGTCTAGTGAAACCGAACAGGCTCTCCGTACTCCGCAGGGGCTCCCGTTGGGTATTCCAATAAAAAATAGAATAATAAAAAAATATATGCGCGCGCCAACATCGTCCCCCGCGCGCTTTTATTTCTCCCCCTCCCCAGCCTCCCTACGACACAAAAAGTCCCGCTCCGTGGAGACTGAGGAGAGGTACAGGCTGCTAGAAAATAGAGAAAACGGGAAATCTAAGACAGTCCATGGGTTGGGCACGTGGTTCGGACCTTTAATTATTGCTGTTGCCGCGTTATCGTCAAATAACCTACAAACACTGATTAAAAATACCTTGAAAGCCTGGTCATTTTGATCACTCTGATATTGTCATTTAATTTTTAAGTAATTGTAAATCGTGATGAAAGATGAATATTTTCTCGTTGAGTTGTGTAATAGTTAGGTCAGATTTACAGTTTTGCTTTTTCTTTTTCTCAAAAGCTTCTGGAGAGATAAGTTGGACACACTGGTAAATGTTCCTTTAAGGTGCGTTATGTTACTTCCTGTTCTTCCCGCTATTTTAACATATGTATAAATTTTTTAGAACTTTGCATTGTGTCATTCTTGAAAAAATGGGAGGCAAGAAATTACGATGTCTTGAGGTTGCGACATTGTTTCTACATTGCAGCGCTGTGCTGCGCTTAAAAAAGACGTTGCAAATCGTCTCATGTACATCACCTTTACTTCTTGGACAAGGTGGACAAACACAGTGGTTATACATTTCATTACATGTTACGCCGCTCTTCCTGTTGGCTATAACAGTAAAATTTACTTTAGTTGACACTGGTAATTCCCATTAATTTAAATTCAATTTGCCAGATTTCTGGCTCGTTATTCCTATGAGGCATCCTTTGACTGATTGTTACAGGAATCTCTGACTGTTGAGAAGATGGCAGGGAGTAGAGGAGAGGAGACATGTCCTCGTCCGTCCACCAGTGCGTAGATATACAAGAGCGGCGGCTACGATCAACGATGAATATTGCAATTTGTCACCAAAATAACAATTGGAACTGGTGTTGAGTCATTTCCTTTAATTTCAGGAACTTTGATATGTCGGATTATGTAATTAACAAGGATCAGCCGCGTCCAGTTTACAATCTGATTGCAGTTTCAGTAAGTAGTATGGCTTTTTTAATTTCCCGCTTCAGAAACTCGACGGAGAATGGGTACAAGCTTTGTGTGCAGTGATTTCTGGGATTGTTTGAGCGCTTTTTTCTTTTTATTTTGCTGAAGAGAAAACAAAGCCCTTTGTATTGTGTAAATCATGGTTGAAGGGAAAGTTTCCTGCTTGTGTTATGACGATCAGACTCATAGCTGTACCAGTTTCCCCTTTTTCCCTTCCTCCCTATCCCCTACCCCCTACCCCTTTCCACGCCTGCTACGCAGGCTACGAATCTAGCGCGAAGGCGTGTCCTTTAATGACCTTGTTACTACTGAGTTAAAATGTCGAGGATGGGTTTCAGATAAGTGTCGCTCATTCCTTTGTTTGTGGCTGGTTAAAGTCCCGCCGTTTTTTCAGCCAATGCGCAATTCATTCATCGTTCTGTCCGCAATCGATTTTTTGGCCAAGATAAATAACTTCATTTGATTTGTCGACCCATAAGCTAACGCCAGCGTTCCTTTAATTCCAATTTGTTCCGATTTTTCTTGCTTTTACAGAACCACTATGGCGGCATGGGAGGAGGACATTGTAAGTAGTTTGTTATGGTTCACTGGTAGTTGCTCTATATATTGTATGTGGGCTTACTTCCGTTTAGTGTAAAATGACCTATTACTACATGTTATATTGTCGCAGCAACTGAACCTTTTACTCCTTGGTTTTACAGACACTGCCTATGCTAAAAACTGTAAAGATGGAAGATGGTACTCCTTTGATGATAGCTCAGTGTCTTCGGTGGACGAAGGACAAGTGGTTGTAAGTCTGTCCGCTGTTGTCTGTTTGTAGAGCGCGATGTTCGGCGACTTACACCGAGTTTTAGGGACCTCTAGCAGCCCAAATGTCCCGTCCGTATTTCGGTCGCACGGGGACTAAGCTGCTCTGGGTGCGAAAATGTTATAACCAATTTAACAACTGCGTCGCTTAGTGGAGGTGGGTGCCTGGGATGTCCAAGACAGAGAAACGCTGTACTGAGCACATGGAGTTAGTGCAAGAAAGGCTGACTGCGCTTGAGCCAAACCGGCGACTGACCGCTGACCACGTCCTCGCTCCTTGTTGTTAACAACTTCATGAAACAGAATGAGTTTGAATGAATGAATCACTTTTATTTCAATACGGTAGTTTCAGTTCAGTGTCCAAGATTGGTTTAACATTGCTAGGCTTTTTGAATGGAAAAAAATTCTTGCGTTACATTTTTAACAGTCCCTGTACCTGTTCACCCGGTCTTGACGCCGGATCGGCATCCGTTCTTTGTGTCGTCACGCAACGCCTCTTCTCATATGAGTTGTGTCACGATACAAAGAATGGCTGTAAGAGCATAGATAGCCAGTGTAGCTGCTGGCGGCATTATTATGCTTGGGATACTTTCTTGCTGCAAGTGAAATCAGTTAACTAGTTCCCAATTTTCGCGCAGCTCCGCAGATTATGAAACTTGTTTTTAGTCTGAATCTCAGCAACTTTTGTTTTTATTGTTTCAGTCTAAAGCTGCCTATGTTCTTTTTTACGAGCGACAAGAGCCTGCTGACGAGGAGAGGATGGAAGAAAAAGACAATGAGCAGAACCTTGATGAGGATGTGGACATGACTCACGATGGACAATAATGAATTCTTTTACTTACGAGAGCAAAAAAAATAGATTATAACTACTAAATTGTCTTTATCCAGTTATTTTACTTGAAACAAACTAGCCAAACGAAAGAGCTGCATATGCTCTTATTTTGGGTTTCGCTCAGTAACTCGAAATATGAATAACTTTGTAAAGTAAGTAAACACTACCACTAGAAAGTAGGGCTCGGTAGCTTTCATTCGAATGCTCATACTTAGTCCGTAGACTCGATGGTTAAAAGTACCGGTACTTTGTACAGCATAATAAGTAATTCAGCTACAGGAAAATACCGCTCAGTGACTTTCATTAGTGACCTTTTTAGATTTTGTAAAAGCGGAGATTATATTTTTGGTTAGGAGAAGTTAATTACTGCACATATTCAGTGACAAACTCCAAACTTGCGCCTTATTACTGATACTGATTTTGAACAGGTCAGCGTGGACAACTATGTAACTAATCGAACTGTTAATTATTTTAGCAAAACAGCCAAGCACTTGCCCGAAATGTGTTGGTTAAGGTGAACCTTGCTAGCATTCCACTCTTTTGAGCGCACGCAATGAAATGAGGTCAAGGCTTGGATGGACAATTTCTTAGGAATCATTAGCGTATTTTGTCAACCAGGTTCTCGCGTTGGTGCGTTTATCATGTGAATGAAAAATGTTGATTGCCCAGGAAGGAACTAAATCACATCTATCTAAACCAGATTCAGTGACCAGTGGCTGCAGTGGAAACAAGGCATTGGTACTGTAAGGATGCTCATTCCCGCAGGATCACAATTCTGGTTTCAGTCGATGTTATCAAGTGTTTTCCTATTCTCCAGCCAGTGTTCAAAGAAACATAGTAGATATGCTGAAAGTAAGGCGCCTTCCTTGGTCGATCGTAGTAATTGGTGTCATCTCGGTGTCTTTAAATGCAAGGGACATCTTGCGTGTTTTATTTATAGAAAAGTGAATTTGAATAAAGTTACAGTACAGTGTTCTTTCATATAGTTGTTTTAAGTAATGTTAAGGTTGATTAAAAGTTATACTATTCTCCCCTCCCTTCACAACAATCGGCAATGTTTTTTTTTTTTTTGGGGGGGGGTGGGGGCCGTCAACCCTATGTATTATTTAAAGAACGAACACTATTAAGATCGGCCCTCAATATTCATGTCACCTAGTTGTCTGCTTTTTAGATGACCAAAGATAAAGGCTGAACAATTGCAGTGACTAACTTTGGGTGTCCGGTTTATAGAGGAGTCCGTCTTTTGATGGGGTCGGTAAAAACAAGACGACTGTATTTCCTTGTTTATGATCTACTTGGCGCTTAACGTTCCATATGATCACTTTGGATTGAGATGATCAAAATAAACAATTAGTCAGAAAGTTCGGAAGGAGTAATAGGTTTTTTGGGGTTGGTTAAACATTAATTAAGAGTCAGAGGGGGAGGAAAAAATAGACCAATTTTTTGTAGAAAGACGTGCACACTCAGACGAGTAGCAGTAACTTAAAATATAAATAGAAATGTATAACCACTCTCTGTCGTTGTTGCTGCGCCACGTATGTGGGTAAAAGATTAAGACTTTACAGCTTAGGTAAGTACTGGAAGTTGCTGAAAACCCAGATCGGACGTTTTGGGTTTTTTTTGGATGAATGCAAAGCTCTCAGGGTTTATCAAAAGAGGACCCCGATCGTCTAAACGGAACCTTAACTTGTGAATCAAAGTAACGTAATCAAATATGTTCTCGATTTTTCTATCAGCGATCCGCGCACTTGATAGAACCGGCTGAGAGAATCCGTTTGTAAGTCGGTAACGTCAGGCATTGTTTTTTTACGCTTGAAATATTAAACTTTGTTAGCTGTTGTTATTTTAACATAATGATCTTAAATTGTAAAAGTAATCATTACACAGAGGTCTCAAAAATGTCTTAAAACTTTATTCATTTTACTAGAAAAACAGTATAACAACAAAAAATGAACAGTATAACATCTATATTTTTTTCACTGAAAAACATCAGTCACGAAGCGTTCATTGGTTTCACAGAAAAAACTGTAACTTTTCCCAACTCTGGATTACAAACAGAATATTTGAAGAATGTCCAACCATGTGCCGCGGCTCCTACAAAGCCAATATGGTACAAAATGTAAGGGAACAAATACGTAACTTTTTAGGAAACTAAACTCTTGCATTTAGAGTACAGCCAAAGATTAAAAAAATACTGAAATTCTTTTTGAGATCATTGCTTTAAATTTTGTTTAGCTCTGTATAGTGTGAATAACGAATTGAATTGAATTGTGTTTTGGCTCGACTCTCTATTTCAATTAACTAACCATATTGTCCTTCTTTATTCACAGCTACAAGACCTCCACTGAAATTTGGGTAATATCTTGCAATTCTTTCCAGGGCAAGAGTTGTTGCTTCTGTGGGGCTCTTCCCTTGACGCATATATTCAACAGCCTGGAAACTAAGCCAAATAAGATAACATCAGTTTTATTCTGTCATTTCTACAATACCATAGACAGCATGCTTTCGCAAAGTGTAAGGCAGGGGCAGATTCAGAAATTCAGAAAGATGTGTCCGGGATTAGTATTTATCTTTCTGATAATTCTTCAAAAATGATACGAATTTCACAAGAAAAGGAGTAAAGCTTTTAATACCTGGGGAGAAATCGCATCATTACATCACCATCTCCAGTAGCAGCAGCACCTCCAACATCATTATCAACATAAGCACCTGCTCCAGCAATTGGAGAGTCACCAACACGACTGAAATATCAGAGACAGAGAGAGAAAGAGAAATAGATGAAATGGCATAATAACCAACAGCTATCATTCCAACTCATCTTCAAGAGCAAACTTGCCAGAACATGGGTGTGGTCCTTACTTCTCAATCACAAAAGTAGTTAGGGTTAATAACTAGAGGGACTGGGGTTACTGCTCTACTTAGCCTTCAGATTTATTGAGAACATTTGGTTGTTGGGTTTATACAATGTCAGGAGTATAAATAGCACGTTTTTGCACAGAGGATGTGTGGTAAACTGTATCTTACCCTGAAATCTTGTGATTTGCTCCATTAGTACTTGTTCCTGCAGCTAGATTTCCAGCACTATCAACAACCACCATCCCTTGGAAAAATATAACCCAGTGAGATGACCATGTAAGTTAAAAATAATTTTTGTATAATTGACCACCAGAACTTATTTTCCTATGACCTTATATGGGGAAGCTCCGCCCCGAGGTTCAACCCCTTACCTTTTACATACCCTTTTTCATGAAAAAGGTACCCCTTCTGCATACTTTCTATGGACAAATGGTACCCCTTTCACATACCTTGTTTAGAACTTTGCATCCCTTTTAACTGCTGTAATTGCACTGTCTTTTTAATACGGAATCAATCACAAAAATAGAATGTTTTCTCGACTTTTCAAAGCCATAAAATTCATCTGTTAGCCCTTTTGGGCCCTTTTACAGATCCAAATGACAGATTTCCCGCTACCCTTTTACATACATCAACTAGTAAACTCTGTACCCTTTCATATACCTGTAGCCTGAAAAAGGTACCCCTTTCAGGCAGAGCCTCCCAGTAAAGGCCATCATAGGGAGTACCCCCATCTCCCGGCTCCCCCCTTGCGGCACTACATAGCAGTTTGATAATGTTGTGGATTCGATTTCTAGGGGCCAGAACAATATTCAGGTCTTCCTTTACCCTACTAACGGCTAGACCTATACATGGCTCTGATAACCACATAAAATGGCAGTCCCATAATAGTGTCCCCCAATATTACTTTCACGCTAAATACATTGACACTCAATTTTTTCAGCCTGAACAATAGAAACACACACTGACTCAGTGCCAGAAATCCACAGTAAAAATAGAAGAAATACAGAAACAGGTAGTATAGATTATATCCACCAAGGTATAAGGGTTGTACAGCAAAAAGAATTGTGATTTCGTCTTTGTTTAAGGTCTTGCTATTATTTACCAATGGTGTCATGATTGTGTCTATTAATGTCAGCATGAGATTTGCGATGTGATCTTCTCTGCTTCCTGTCAATGTAAATTATAAAATGTTGTTAACAGTTTAAGTTTCACACAAAAGCATTCATCCTGCAGTAACTCTACTCAATGATTTTTTTCTCATCTGCATTCAACTCAATTAACTCTTAGGCTTAAATTTCTTACACCAAGAAGAATACAGAAAACCAGGAAGACTCAGTGATGAATGTATACCTTAACCCTCGAAAACACATGTTTCAATATATTGCAAATTTTAAACTGAGAAATCAAATTGGGAACTTACCCTAACCCTGGTTTAGGTTTGTATGGACCACAAGACTGATGGGGGTCTGGGACCACATCCTGAATTTGAAAACATTTAAAGAAATATATATTTACCAATAACATCATACAAATGTAATATACATATTAATTAAAAATTATACAAAATATTTTGAAAAATTCTGGCTCAAAAGTAAAGATTATGACAGAATCCAATGCACACTGATTACCAGAAATGTGAATCTTTTTTACTTTACAATACTGTTACAACAGTTACAAAAAGGAATGTCATCTCACAACATCTACCTGCCAAAAGTTGGGCTGACAATTGTTATTTTTCCAGTCTTTCCATATTTGCCTGCAAAAATGAATGTAAACATTAAATGCCTGTGGATTTAAAATGTAGTATTCTTATAGGAAATACACAGTTCTGCTCAGTTCTTAAGCCAAAGAGTAGCAATTTTACTGATAAAGGGTGGTGGGTGGTAAAATTGTCTCTAAACTAATTTATCAAATCTCAAAATCTTAAAAGCAGCATTGCTGGTGATGAGTCATCTGTGTTTTCTTTCAACCTTTTTGTCATATCAAAAACTCAAAATTTTTACACAAGTACCTCAGCAGTCTCAGATTTTAACACTCATTATGACGCCCTTTTCTAAACAGATATATAAAACAAATGCGGAATACTAATTTGCATGAATTGGGCAACATCCGATAATGTGATCCGCTCAAGTAGTAAAAATTGACAAAACAAGTTCAATTCCCTCTTTGCTAATGACTCACCATGAGTGATTTGTGTGTAAGTCTTCACTTTTAAATCCCATCTCAATAGCAAAGCGAGTTGCTAAAAAGATAATAATAATTATTGCACTACATCATTGAGTGAATGAAAAGAGCAAATCTGTAAACATAATGAGCAAAACATTTAACTATCTAAACACTTTATTCACAAACTAGTAAGGGGTGCCAGACGTAACAAACACAAAATAATAGAGAAATGAGAAACAAAGCATCGATCTACCGTCATCTCCAACCAAGAAGGTTTCAGAAGTATGCTCCATAACACTACGGGCAACCGAAATGGCTGACTTTATTCTTTTCAGACACCCAACAGCTCCAACATCATGTGTAACACTTAAAAAGAAAGCTGGGTAAACTTTAGACTGACTGAGAAACACAAATGACATATGACTACAGTACAGTTAGAGAAAAAGATATAGTATCTTACCCATCCATGATCATCGCATCCAAAGTGGTTTCTCCATCTTCATTTGGACTGGATAAAGAAAAAAGTTACAAAAGTTACCAAGAAAATTTACAAAAGTTACATAGTTAGTCATAAAAAAGTTACAAAAGTTTTCATGATGTCTGAAACTTTACATGTCCATCCCCACTAGCTATTTCACTTTATTTCTTCAATGCTTATTTCATTTATCTAGTTTCAACAAAATCTTATTTTTCAGGCTTTAACAGGATATTTCAAATGACTAAATGAAATTACAGTAGGTTATATGCCTTACTAGTATATTAACATGTACATGCTTCATTTTAGTGACACATGATCGATTCAAAAAGCAAAACTACTTCTGTTATCAAGTGACAGCACACCAACCTTCCACCAAATCCTACAGTACCATCACATTGTTCAGCTTCACATACTATGCAGCCAGACTCTACTGCATCCAATGCACTGCCTTTTCCACTTGATATAATTTGCCAAGCTAAAGATCAATAATTACAGATATGCTAATTAACATCAACAATTTGAGCTTTTCATGGCGAGAAATTTATTTATGAAACAGATTGCTGCCTTCCCTTGACAGTTTACAGGAAAAGAAAAAGTATTATTAAACCTTATACACAATGACACCACATATTTTATCCCTGACAAAGATTATTTTGTCAGGGACTTTTGTCCATTTGTAACTTGTGTAAGACTATATGAAGAGTGTCCTTGGCCACACCCATGTTATGATATTGGGAGGACTGGGCCAATTGTGTGTATTGGGGAAGGGGTGGGTTGATATGGGGGTGAGGGATACTACAAAAGAGATAGTCTTGGGATTTAAGATCTCCAAAGGTCTCTCTCTCCCACACACTCTCTACATTATTATCACCACCACCACCACCACCACCACCTATTAGCATCATCGTCATAAATAGTTTCTCATGAGAAATTTTGAGGGGTTACTGTGTTGATAAATGTCTATTTCCTTTTTATCTGTACATCATCATCTGTACATCGCTTCTAACAATAGAAATGAGTGAAAGCAAAAAGCTGCTGACTTTGAAAACGAGGTAACTCATCTTTTTAAGACCTTTTAACACTCAGACAAAGGGAAAACGCATCAAACGACTCAAAGTACGTGCGGTACAGTTTGGTTACACTAGCTAACCTTCTGATGTTGCGTTCGTAAATGGAGGTCCCCAAGTGTTAATAACCACAGGAAGGAACTTGGAGCCCGTATCTGTTTTTTGTAATGAAAGTTTGCCATATGTATGAAGCAAAAAGACACAAAATAAGATGATAACTGAAAACCGGGCCATGTTTCCTTGCCCCTGCTCGCACCAATCCTCCCGCAGCCACTGTCGATCAGGGGTCAATTTGCTTGTTTGTTTGTTAGTCTGTTTTCTAAAGTGAGATACAGAGAGAGAAACTTGATCAAAAATTGAACTTTTTGGAACAGTGATGGTATAAGCTTCTGATCTAATAATAGACTGGAAACTGAAAGCGTTCGGCGCTTGAACAAAAAGTTTCATGTGGCGTGTAAAAATAAGGATTTCCGCCTCGCGATATTTTTAGGCAACCTCCTCGTCGTGCCTCGTCTCAGGGGACAAGCTGTCTGGCGCAATCTTTAAAGCTTTATATTATTTCTTTTCTATTTTTTTAAATCAGGCTTTAAGAAGGAAAAATATATTCAAGAAAAATACGGCCTGCTATCTTAAAGCTAGCCTCCCAAGCAGGCGTTGTTTTCCTTCCTCCCCACAACGGGAGGGATGAAAAACGAGCTCTAAAAAGCCTGCGAGGCTATCTTAAAGCAAGCTCAGATAGATGTCGTCGAATTTCCATGTCGTTAAAATTACGGTTTTAAACTTTGATACATATTAAGCCCTGACGAAGTCTTTTAATAAAAACGAAATATCGGCAAGACTGGGCCATTTTTTCCCAGTTTTTTGAGGTTATACAGTGCTATTCTGAAATTACCATCCAGACTTTCGATGTTGGTTAATGTGCTATAAAAAAGGAAATGCATATATTTTTTCAGTCAGACATATTCGCGTTTAAATGAACTTTATTTAAAGCGTCTCGAATAATTAGGGAGATTTCGTACACATTGCGGACCTATCTGTCGGCTATCTGTCGGTTCTCTGTCTATTTTGGGAAACACATCACGAGACCGGAGTCTCGATGTGTCGCCCGATATGTCGACAGGATCAGACCTTTGAATCTTGAACCTGAACAGTTTGATATTTAATCTCCAATCTTGCCATTTTTTTAATTATGTTTTTTTTGTGCCTAATACTAAAAATAAGCTCAAATTTCTGATTATTTCATCAACGATAAACAAAGCAATTGAATCTACGAATGGCAGGCTCTATCGCCTTTGTCAGGGCTGTGTCACGGAAAGAAAACAAAAGATGCTACGTGTACGCTTACATAATATGATAACCTTTCAGCCAATTAGAAGGCGACTTTCTTTTAAACTAGCCAATCACGATCACCGACAAATATGAAATGAACTTTGGCGCCCAAAACTTCAGACTTTTTTGTTTACATCGACTATTTTGATCATGGAACGTTGAGTTTGGGTGTGTAAGCAAAGTTCCGTTCATCTTACCTATGCATTTTAGGTAAAGCTATTCTTATCTCGTAGTTCTGCAGTTCTGGAAGCAGAGACGTGGTGGAAGCGCACAAATGAGGTATGTGAAAGCTAAGCTATCGTATTATGTAAGCGCATTTTCTTCATACTAAAATGGCGTCTTTCTCGATTGTGACAGCTGAACTTTATATTACGTTCCGAGGGGAATTATATTTTTCTTCAACGTAAAACAGAATGCAAAAACATAAGCTCCTTGTGCTTTTATTCTTTTTATTTTTCCCTTGTGATTTTATCGTAAGAAAACTGCTTTCGCGAGCAAATATTTTTCGTCTTTCGAAATCAGTCGATCGACGTAAACTTAGGCTTATTGTTTTCGTGTATTTTTCTTTACCCTGGTAACAATTTCACCATCCGTAAAATGTATTACAGAAAAACAATCCCTATCTTCATCCTGTATTTAACGGTAAAACAAAAATTGTTTGAGACGAAAATTCTGCGAAGGGATAATAATCGGTTTGGTGTTCGCTCTTTCTAATTCGTTTCGTTAGCCGGCGGCCGGCACGAAGTTCAGGTTATTTTTTTTAGTGAAGCTTTTCTTTGTTGATTTCAGGAATTTCTTCTTGTCATTTGCCTAAATTGGAAGGACAAAACCCATGTTCACTCACAGTTTATATTCGAGTTATGCGTTTTACTTTTAATGTATAGGCTTGCTGCGAAAGAAATATTTGAGGTTAAAGGGGAAAAGCCCGGCTCCCTTCGTGATCGCTAATTGAATGTAAAAAAATAGTTGTAATATACTTATTTTAGCTTCAACATCGACTCTGTGGTAAACTTAAAACAGTCTTGTCGGTAGAAATACGTTGAATCTATCCATTCCAAAATGGTTTTCATATTAGCAAAAAAAGCTGAGGATCTAGCCGAGATTGCAAAATTCCTAGTATCTACCCAAAAAGTAATTTGTGACGTCAAAGGCGGACTTTGTTAATTAGGGAACTGTCAAAATACTGATATTGGCACACGAGTTTTTGGGTGGAAAAAATTCTTTTTTAGGTTACTTTTTTTTTTTAAATAAGAAATTGAATGTTAAGTTTTTTTTGATGAAAAATGTGTGGATTAGTGCTATCCAGTGGATAGAGATTTATTCAGTGGATAGTGCTATCCACCTTTTGAACAACTAGGACCTAGGCAAATTGATTTAATAAAATCAGGTTGAAATGACAGAGCAACTTGTTGTAAATTCTTATTAAAAAATCTCTGCTACTGTTACATTATTTCTGACAAGATATATGATTGAAAAGTACATTGTTGTGCAGTATGGTAAAACACCTGGTTTGTCAATACAATAAACTGCAGGATACTTCAAAGACACATTTGAGTATGTAAATCACTGCTCTAATGAAAAGCTTTTCAATATCCCAAAGTGGCTTATTTGCAAAACTATAGAAACAGAAATATCGCCATTTTATGGAAATGGTCCATTTCAAATTCATTTCAAGTAATCTTACAGACATCACATCAGACAAAAATCATATGGTAAGATGGATGGACAAACAAAGGCAACAATGGGCAATTCAGTTTTCAATACCCTTGACCCCCTCTGTATACTTACTGATTTTTGAAATCTCCTAAATGGTTATTGAAGTCACTCTTAAAATTTGTAACTTGAGACAGAAAGCTAATGGACTTCATTTGTCATCCTGCCAGTAAATATCAAATTATTTGTCTTTCTTTAAATTTTGTGTAAAATTAATTGTCACCTTAGTGGCAATATACTTATATAATAACAGTTAATTTTTAATAATTTTCCCACTTTTTCCTTCACTTGTTTTTATATATATTTTCTGTATCCCATCTGCAGATACGAGGATTTTGTGCAGCTATTTGTAGAATTAGAAAGTCACTGTTAGTCAAGGTGAGTTAGGGTATAAGCATGTCACTAAGGACTTTTGTATTGTATAACACCATGACTATATTAGTTTACAACAGGACTTTAACCTATTATCATGCTTTACCAAGTAGATCTCAATAAGGGTTTAAAAGATTCAACAGTAAATTTATAAGAATGTCAATGTGTGAATATACTCTCTTATTAGATGAAAGTTTCTTGTGGTTTGAATGTTGGCAAGCTGCTTAGAGTGTTGCAGGAGGGGCTGCTGAAAGAAGAGGCTGCACACTTTGCACCACTCACATGCCTGGTGGGAAATAAGGTAATGCTTCATCTTTAACTTTAAATTAAAAGGGAAAACCCCAATTTTATTTTGTAACATAATGTTTAATTTATAGTGCAAAGGTAAGTGCTTGAGAGGCATTAACTAAGTGCCTGGCAATGCTGTCTCCGTAATTGAATATGGTAACAAAATTATCTAAAAACATTTCTTTTATTTTAGGATTCAGATGGAATCAGTCTTTCTCAGCGGGATAACATCACAACATTCATGCTGAATCTGAGCAGACACTGTGGATTTCACTCAGAAACATACTCCCTTTCTGTTAACTTGCTTGATCGTTTCCTCTCAGTAGTAAAGGTAAGTTTTTTTCCCAGGTAAATAATAAACTTTTGTTTTTGTATATTGAGTTAACAGGAAGAAAACTTATAACTGTTACTTACTGGTCTTAATTTTTTTTAAGCATGTACATTCTATTAATTTAAAAAATGTCAAATATCAGGTTGTAAAAACAGGGTTGTCAGAAAGTTTTGAAGTAGATCGATGAGTGGTCAAAGTAAGTGGCCAGTCCAGGGATATTTATTTAAAATTAAAATAAATAAGGTTTTGGAGCTAAGAAATTTTCTTGTCTGTTCTATTGTAGGCAAATCCTAAGTACCTTCCTTGCATGAGCATCTGCTGTCTTTTTCTGGCCATTAAGATGTCTGAGGAGGATGAGGTAAAAAATACCCATACACTACATTACTGTTTAAACTAAGATCTAAGGTTTTTCCACTACAAAAATATAATTGTGTCTTGAAAGACTGTTATTGCTCTTCACTGAGAGTCAAGGGAAGCAATTGTGGCACAGTGGTGACCCGCGTTCAAGTCCTAGCATCAAACCCATAATTATGTGGGATGAGTTTGTCCTTGCTCCAGTTTTTCTCTGTACTCTTGCTGGTTTTCCCTTCTTCTCAAAAACCAACACTTCCAAAATGCATTCTTAAGTGTAAGAACTCCCAGGTGCTTCATGGAGAAACAAATTTCAATTTCCCATATTATTATCTCTTCAGTGAATGATGAGGGTAAATCTTCAAATCTGATGTCAGCAGTTTCTTCAGTAAATAAAGTCATGATACTTGGTTCTCTCATATATTGATCTAGTATGTGTTTTTATTCATTTTTGTCTCAGGATGTCCCAACAGCAGCTGATTTTGTCAAAGTTAGTGGTCTTCGCTTCTCTTCTTCTGATCTACTTCGTATGGAGCGCATCATCCTTGATAAACTCAACTGGAATTTAAACGCTACTACTCCTTTATATTTTTTGCAAGTGGTAAGTATATGCAACGAGTATCGTACATGAAACCTTCCATTCTTCTTTCTTTCTTGCTTCTTCATTTCTATCCCTCCTTTCTCTTTTTCTTAACCCCTTTCCACATGATTTTTTATTTGCTTTTATTATTTTAATACAAGACCTTGTAATAAGTATGTGTTTTTAATTTTCTGCAGTTCCATGCTCTTGGCGTTGCAAAAGGCTTTCTTGATCATTGCCCAGTGAACCAACATTTACAACACATCACTTCTCTTATGGAGGGCCTCCTCTGCCACCACAAGTTTATGTTCTTTAAGGTAAATTCTCCTTTAATTTAAGTATTGTTAGTCAAACACAATATATATGTTGTAGTTATTTTTTTTTATCTCAGGTAATTTTTCTTTTTCTTTTGTTTTGGGGTATGGTAATATGCAAATGAAGTTGAAACAAAAGAAAAATAAAAAATTAACTATGCAACATATATATATATTTGTGCATTAAATCGTGCGAACAAAATGTTGCTAGGAATAAGTCAGGCTTTTATTTCTGAGAATTACCACTGTGAGTGAAACAACAGTAAGGAAATATCTTGAGTCCACTGGCTGCTCATTAGCCATTTCCTAGGAGAGCATTCTTTGGCCCAACTACTTCTGCTTACAACAGGCTTGCACTTGTACATGGAGTACAGTGCTGCACAATCGTTTCTGAGGTACATCATATTGATCTTGTATGGATTTGTTTTCTTTCAGCCATCAACCCTTGCCCTTGCTTTGCTGAGTCATGAGTTGGTGTATGTCTGTAACAACTGGTTTATGGCAACACACTACTTGCAACATGAAGGAAAGGTATGATTTGTCAGTTTGTAACCTCTTCACCCCTTAACTAATCATGTGCAGAAGATCTCCGACCACTCGAGTCACCATCGGTTTTAATCCAGTCCAACAGGCTTGAGGTCAATGTAAAAAAAACCTAAAGGGGAGGGGGGGGGGGGGGGGAGAGAAAGGAAGAGACAAAACTTTTAAGACTTTTTTGTCACTTTTTTACCCTAAATCTCAAAATTTTGCTTTCTGTACATCCTGGAACTTCAGGAGCTGATATAACTTATAGCATTAGGAATAGAAATAAGAATGCCACAAAGGGCTCAACTAAGATATCCAGAGCACCCCTCATCTTTATACCCAAGATATTGAAACAATTCTTTCTGTAGATTTTAACACCTCCTTCTTTTTTGTAGGTTTCAGATGCCGAGCTTTGGGCGTGTTCAAAACTAGTTAATGAACATCTGAACTCTGTTATACAAAAACACTTACCCAGTTTCAAGACATTACCAATGACTGAGAATGAAGATGAAGAGTTTCCAGTGATAGAAAATTGAAAATGAATTTGTACAGGTTCGTCTTGCTTATTATTTTTCAACAGTATATATACACTGTCAAACTTTCTGTCACAACCTAAATTAGAGACCTTCAATGTGCTAACCTCTGCATTCATCCTGATGACCTTTAAACCAATCAAAAGCATCAAACAAGTAAATGGTTTGTAATGATCCTCAATTATTTGCCCAGTGAATTAACTTTCCTACAGTTGCCTATAAGAGAGATCAATCTGTGACAGAAATCATTCTGTCCTACATGTAGTGTATGCACCACAGACAGTGACATATGCATTCAGTCAGAACACTGTTTTGATCTCTATAAAGCAGAGTGTCATTTCAGGTTGAATGTTGGTTCTCTAAAACAGATGCTGTCCTGCATAGAGTTGGAGTTGGGTCCATGCCTGAGGGTTTCCAAACAAAACTAATAGCAGCTTTTATTTCCTTGTAGATCCTCACTGCTTGCTAAGATGTTTTCTTTGTTACGTGATTAACTACAGTGTAGTTTAGTATGTAAAGCAACAAAGGAACACTTTACTTAACTATCACAACTCAAGACTAGACTAGAGATGTGTGAATTGTAATGAACAGTACATATGTATATTTAAATCAAAATTATGTATAAATTTGAGAACCACCCAAAGCAAACAAGCAGCTCAACATCATACTTAGAGATTCTCATTATGTCAACTGTTTTGTACAGTTCTTTTTTTATGAATTTTATTGTTAAAATGACCAAAAACCATTTTATTGGTTTAATGGTTTGCCGGGTTTGTGTTACTTGTGGTATCTCGTTGTGTTAATATGACTGTACATTTGTACATTTTATTGGTTTTATATGGTGGAATGGAGAAAAGGCATTAGTGTAGACACCTTTATTATCTGTAAATATTTTAGTATGGAGTGAAAATAAAAGTTTTTACTTTATAAAAAGAGGATCTTCTATTTTGTTATACATTTTCTTCCATAATCCTCTGATGTACTTGAGTTTGATCACAGTGGGGGGTGGGAGGGCTTACATCTGATAAGACTTGCAAGAGGAACACTTAATGTGGACTTTTTTTTATGTTTGTGGTCAGTTTTGTGTCAGCTGTTGTGAATTTTAAGAACACAGTTAGCTGATGTGAGGTCTGGAACCACAAATTATTTTACTGCCCACTGGAAAATGCCAAGAACAATATGGTGACATTTTTGAGCAGTTTTGAAAATTTGTTGGTTCTAGACCTTGCAACAGCTGACTGCATGCATTTTAAAATTTTACATGGCCACTACAAAACAGTCTACACACATCGATAAACGTAAACATTTTACTCCTTCTGTAATATTCGAATCTGCTGGGAGAGCCTTACATGGTTAGGTATTCATTTTAGATGCAAAACGTCTACTGATTAACTAAATTTAACACCACAAAACTCCATGGTTTTGAACCAAAGAAAATGTCAAGATTATATGATGACAAAGAAAAACAAATAAAAAAAATATTGTTGTTCTGATTTTACTGTCTGAAATTAAGAAACTTAAAACTGTTAGTTTACCAGTGCATATCCCAGAAGAAAAAAAAACCTTTGCTTGCCTAGTACTTAACAAAAAAAGAACTTGACCAGTGATGAGGAAGAGTGCAGGGTGTTTATCACAACATTTTCTAAAATTGGAAACAAAATATCACAGGTGTTAAAGAGTCACATTCCTTGGCCCATTCTTGCTTTATCAGCTAAGGGTCCCACCTCCATGAACACAGCCATCTGACGTTGATTGAGATTCATCCACTTTGTACTGCAAGTGTCAATACATGACTGCTATTTAAAATAAAAATAAGAATTGATTAGAAATTTGTGTGCTTTTTAAAATAAGATTGATAATGTAACCTGTACCACAGTCTAAGAGGTGAAAGTCGTAAGGCCTAGTGTTGAGTACTGGGTCACTTTGTAAATGAATAAGCCACTGGACCGCTTTTATTTTTTTGTGGCCGCTTGGTCCTGAATAAGGTATGCAATTTCATGCAATTCATCCTGAACAGAAAAGAATCAGCACTGGTATTTTGCCCACTATCCTACACAATTACAGTGGAACCTCGATTTAACGCACCCTATATTATGAATTCTTTGTTACAACGAACAATTTTCTTCAACCTGGAAAATTACAGTAAAATGTACGGATCAGAACCTCCATTTAAGAAAATCTTTGTTATAACGAACACAATCCACAAGCGAAAACATAAAATTTACCTCAATATAATGAATAAATGTCAGCATGCAATAAAAGATGAATGCCAAACAGACCAACAAGGATAAAATTTATGTGTACAGTAGTTTTAAGCAGTTTTTTTGGCCTCTTCTCGAGTTTCTAGTGCAGTAGCCATGTATAGCTCGGGACTGAAATGTTATTACAGTATTTTTTCAGATTCGGGAAGGCTGGGTTCTGTAAATTAATTATTAACTATACCTTGATATAATGAACATTTTCCTAGTTTTCCCCAAAATTCGTTAAATGGAGGTGTTAGATATAACGAACCCTTGATTTAATGAACAAATTTCCCCAGTTCCTTGGCATCTCATTAGATCGAGGTTCCACTGTACAGGGTTAGGGGGATTCAAATAGTCAACAAGTTCCCTGGCACAGTTTTGTTTGTTTGTATGCTTAAAAACCTCAGAAGAGAAAAAGGAATGTCTGTGAACAGATGAGATTTCAAACTCTCAGTGGTATTGTACCTTGCCCAACAGCTGTGTGGCAGCCCTCTAAAACATTTTTTTCTTGGACCCAGTTCTTCACAGCTCTTTCTGGGCCATGTACCATTATTTTTTGCTTTTGTTTGTTTTTCCAACCAATCCTGTATGGCTTTGTTCAAGTAGTGACATCATCTAATGACCAAACTTAGGTCAAGTACTCCCTCCACAAGAAGTGATCATGAGAAGTGGTAGATCCGGACCTTTAGAGAAGAGGGTGGGGGGGGGGGGGGGGGGGG